CAGGAGAATGGAATCTCTGGCCTGGGTGGAGACTTAACATTCCAGTTGGGCAGGTCAATACACTGGCTAAGGGACCAGCCTCAGGAAGGCTTGATCCTCCTTACTCCACGCTGAAGAGATAGGAGGAATAATTTTTCCCATTAATGCCACAAAGCTCTGTTAGGTCTGCCCTCCCAAATCCTGACTCAGAAAGGCATATTTTTCCTTTTTTTTTTCTTTTTTCCTTCAGATGCTGGCCAGAGCCTACAAACGCCTTTTCTGGTATGATAGGCTTCTGTCTTTCTCTAGAGCCCCGTTCCCCTTGACCTCCATGACATACTCAAATAGCATGAATTTTTCTCTCCCTCTTCTCTAGCTGCCTCCTCCAGGCAGCTGCCTAGATTTACAGCTGGTCCTCCTTGGGGTTTTTCTTTTAAACTCTAATAAAGTTGTCGTTCTCTAGCTTCCTTTTGAGCCACTCTTAAATTCTTTTAATAGCAATGCTAAGAACTCTTCAGAGTGGAGTATACCAATTTCCCTGATAACATGTAGCAACTCCACCAGGTCTCCCCAAAATTTTCAGCAACACAAGTCAGGTTTCCTACAAAAGCCTGGAGAAAGCTTTTCTAGACCAACTCAATATAAAAAATGTACATGTTTCCACTGTCAAAAGACCACATCCCTAGAATGTAAGAAAAAGCAAGCCCAGAATGAGGCTAGATGCTAAAGCTACGTGAAATGTTTTAAGGTCACCCAAGAGTACAGATGGAGGAAATATTGCAATCTAAGTTGGGAGATACCATGAGAAATCATATTAGTTCTTAAGAATACTTCAGTTGGCAAAATATGAATTTTATCATTGAAATACCTGAATCAATTCCTATTTGTACTCAACTCCAATTTGGTTGATTTTGTATAAGTTAAACTGCTCTGTGTTATACTTCTGTCATTATGTTAGTGACAGTTTTCCCCACACAAGTAACCGCAACAAATCTGAACAAATTTCACACTTATTAAATCTCTGTTCATGTTCTTTAAGATTTATTTACGATTTATACCAGTGCCTCATTTCCATGTGTGCCTGTATCACAGAAGAGGGCATCAGATCTCATTATAAGGGTTGTGAGCCACCCTGTGGTTGCTGGGAATTGAACCCAGGATCTCTGGAAGAGCAGCCAGAGTTCTTAATCCCTGAGCCATCTCTCCAGCCCTATGATCATGTTCTTAATGGATGCTGCAATCAGTCCTCCACTGAAAGGGCCAGAATGTTGAGTCCACTAACAATGAACTACTGCCTCAACGCTGGTCTATTTCCCCCATGTGCAGACTGCACCCTCACGAGTCTCTAGGATTATGGTCATACTGTTTTCTTCAAATTCTAAACAACCTAGTAAATTGACAAGGAAGGCCGTTCTAGGTTTTGGAGTCCTACCCATCAATGTTCAGTCTCCTTTTTCCAACAATCATTCTTCTGCTGCTGGGTGTGTAGCTCCCACCTGTGATTCAAACACTTGTAGGCTGAGGTGGAAGGGTTCCTGAGTGGTGTAGGCTAACCTAGATTACACTAAGAGTTCCACGTTAGCCTGGGCTACATATAAAGACCCTATCTCCACTTCTTCCCAGAACAGAAAAAAAAGAAAAACATACGTCTCTGCTGAATTAACTATTTCAGCATCTATTCTATACAACACAAGGCCATTCTGAAAAACATTATCTTACTGAGGTTCTTAATGTCTTATCATCTGTGTTCCACAAATCCAAAAAACTCAATTAAAACACAAGGGAACGATGCCATGAAGGGGGAGGGGGGGAAGACAAAACAAAACAAAACAAACAAACAAAAAACTATACATGAAAACATGGAGGGATGCCACTGAGGAGAACTGACTTCACGGGGGAGAGGTGTATCAAATGCTCATGACTTTTTTGGCAAATAGCTAAAAATAAGAAGAAATTTCAAACTCAACTGTGCAAGTTGAGGACAACTTGACCCTCAATATTCATTTAGCTCATCCCCCTTTGCTTGTGAAGTTAATACAAACTTGAAAAGAAAAAGAATTCAGAAAAAAAATCATATTAAATATTTAATTGTTGAGAAGACTACATAAAATACAGCATTTGGCCTAGCAAATGGCACACACTCAACAAATGAAGACTATTATTGTCAGGGTCACTTTCAATCAAAATTACATGACAGTTTGCAATTTCAAAGACTTTAATATGTCATTTGTGGTTTTGCTATGTAATCAATACAGAGAAGGCGAACAATAAAACCTTTCATCAGTGCAATTAATACAAAGCACATGATCAAAGAAAGGCCTCTATACTAATTTTTTTCTTTTTTGAGACAGGGTCTTACTATGTAGCCCTGGTTGGTCCAGAGCAGACTGGCCTGAAACTCAGAGATCCTCCTAACTCTGCCTCTTGAGTGATGGGATTAACGGCATGCACCACCATAAGGTGATACACACCTACGTCCCAGCATTCCATAGGCAAGAGGATGGTGAGTTTGAGGCCGCTGTCAACTTACACTGGAGTGTTAACGCTAATATCAAATCTGCTGAAGGGTGAATACATATGGAATCCTTACCTAGCATCTTCTGGCAGAAAGAGAATATGAGCCGCAGGTTTAATTTTAAATTTCTGACAAGGGAAGGAGAGATGGCTGAACACTTAAGTGTTGATACCACCTTTACACAGGATCCAGATTCAGTTCCAGGACCCATGTCAGGCGCTCACCTGGCTTCCCTCCTCGGGCACTTACATTCAGTTGCACATAACCACACAGACACTTAATTTTAAAAATAATTAAAATAACCAGGCAGTGGTGGCACATGCCTTTAATCCCAGAGAAACGAGGCCAGCCTCGCCTACTGACTGAGTGCCAAGACAGTTAAGGCTACAGGGAGAAACCCTGTCTTGAAAAAAAAAAAAAAAAAAAGAATAAAATAGTAAGAAGAAATCTAAAAGTTTTTGATAGTACCATATAAAAGAAAATGTAACTTTAATACATATTTTATGTAACCCAATACATATAAAGCATCATTTAAATATACAAGTAATGTAAAAATAAGATATTTCATACACTGTTTTTGGAATCACTTACAATGCATCTTAGTCCCAAAGAGCCCCATTTTGCTTGTTTCTGTGTTCACCACAAAGCACTGACCTATCCTAGACTTTTTGAGAATGATTGCAATGTTTTTAGCAAAGACTTCTGCCTCTCAGCTCGGTCTCTGACTATCCCGGTAAGAATGCTAACAGGCTTGAGTTCTTCCTGATTGCATCTGAGCAGAGAGGACAGCGGGAGAGCAGTTGCTTGCTGCAACAAGACACATTCTAGAACTGTTTCCTCTCAACCTCTCCAAATCCCAGTGAGGCAGATGATTTCCAAGTGGAGATCCAGCACAAACCACTTGCCAAGTCATGCCTATCCTTAAACTCTACCGGGTCCTCAGCACCTATCTATTCATCTCACTAAAAATGTACTGTTTGTTTGTAGAGCAAGAGCTTAGCATGTGCAAGGCCCTGGGTTTCCACCCTTAGCACCAATAAATAAATACAAATAAATGCAAGCACTAAATCCTTCCATTTGTAACAGAATCTACACTGGGGGCTCTAGAAGACATCCAAATATATACAAAATCCAAGTTTTAAAAAAAAATGTATCAATGATTACATGATCTCAAATATTCTGGCAAAAAATCCCTGTTTTCTCAAGAAACTTAACTCTCCCATCAAGACCAGCAAAGACTTCAGCGAACTAACCCCTTTTTGGCTTCCCCAAAGCAATGTGTTTGTGTTAAACTTTAACAAAGCAAGCAAGTTTAGGCTGCTTAGCTGTTTGATGTAAAAATAATTATTAAACCCAACTGTAAGTACTGGGAAATGTTGGGCTGTCTCAAGAAAAAGGGAATTCGTTATGAAAACACAGATCTATATTTCTATCTTCAAAAACACAAAGTGAAGCCGGTGATTGTCACACACACCTTGATCCCACCACTCGGGAGGCAGAGGCAGGTGGATCTCCCGAGTTCGAGGCCAGCCTGGCCTACAGAGCAAGTTCCAAATCAAATCATTCTTCCGAGGACAAGTCCACTCATTATACACCACCAGTAACAGCACCTAAATTAGTATGGGTACAACCGCTTTGCAATCCGCTTCCAAACTCTAGCAGTAAAAATCTTCCACACCTGCATTTCTTAACGTTCAAATTATCTTAAAACTTCAATAATCTTTATAAAGGCTATCAGGGCCCTAAAAATATCCAAAGGTCACCTCTCGTTTTCTAATTCTGCAAAATAAACAGATTGCCGTTTTTCAATCCCACCTCTCCCTAGCTTTCACCTAGACACGGTGAGGCCGAAACCAGGGGGAGGCTGGCCAGCCTGGAAGGTGCTCTAGCAGTGTCAAAGGAACTGACAGCATTCTAGCCCTCCGTAGGCTTCTTAATTGAAGACACAGTCGTTGGACACCTACCGATGCTAAGACCATATAGGTCAGAAGCAGAGAGGCAATCTAGAGAAATCAGGCCCAGCAAGGTGTGCCCTCTGAGACAAACGAGTCAAGAAGGCATTCAAATCAGAAGTGATAAGAGCCCACAGGAGACAAAGTGCAAGCGAACACTCCAGGGAGGGCAGGGGCATTCGAAAGATGGGCAAGATCTGGAAATGCTTTCCAGAACTTGATGCCAGGCAGGAACCCAGTAACTTCCCTGAAGGCTGAGAGCCACCTCCCCAGCTGAGCAGAGAGAGGCCCTAGGGACGCGAGGCCCACCCGAGGCCAGGTCGGCCCCTCCGCTCCCTCCCTCCGTCTGCGGGGAGGCTCCGCCCCGCTCCGGGAAGCCGCGGGCACTGGATCCGCGAGCACGCGCGACCGCGGAGCCCACAGGCCGGGCGGGCCTGGACGTCGGCGCCGGGCTGATCGGCCGGGCCGCGGGCCGCCATGGAGCCCGCGAGCCGCCCGGCGCACCCTCCTCCGGCCCGGGCCGCCGCTCCCGCCCGGGGCGCCGCGAGCCTTACCCGGTCCGGCGACAGCGGGGTGGGAGCCCCGGGGCTGCGCGGGCACTGCCTCCTCAGCTGGCGGAAGTTCGGCGGCTGCCCGCACCTGGGCGGAAGTGCGGCCGCCTACTCACCTGGGCGGAAGTGCGGAGCGGGCCGCCTCACCTGGGCCTCCGCCCAGCTCGGCCCGGCCGGGGCGGGGCCGACCCGGAGCCCTTGGACTTGCACCCATCCGTGAAAGTTCCGCGAGTGAGACCCTGGAGAGGAGGCCGGGGCCCGTGCGGGCAGGTGCGGAGGTGTGATCGACCCGCGCGAGACCCCGAACAGAAGACAAGTCCACTTGTGTCCCTTTATGTGCTGGCTCAATATAAAATTTTGTAAATGTCAATCTCTGTGTCCCCATCATCCTAAGTGTAATTATAAGTGTCTTCTTTTTTTTCTTACTCAGAATTTTGATGATAAGCGTTTACATTATCTAATACAGCCTACTCAATGCTAGAGGGAATCAATCATCAGTTATCTTACTGAATAAATGCACTATTAGGCACTGTGATTGACGGGGATGACAGATAAAGTGGTATCTTCGAAAGATGAATATGTACAAACCTCTGCAACATGAGGACATTTGCTGGTTATGTGTTTGCTAGTTTGTGGCTGCGTGCTTATTTTAGAGGGAATAGCATTTGTTAAGCCTTTTAAGAAGGTATGCAAGTTTTTCCCTAATTAGGGAATAAGATAAAGGTGTCCGTTTTCACCTGTCCTGGTCAACATACTACTTCCTGGAAACCTCAGCCTGAATAGACAAGGCAAGTAAACAGTGGGCCTTGCCTGGCAGTGGTGCACACCTCTAGTCTCAGTGCCCTGGAGTTTCAAGTAGTATTTTAAGTCCCTAAAAGAACATAAAAAAAAAAAAAAAAGAAAGAAAAAGAAAGAAAGAAATGGCACACTAATAGAAAGGAAGCAAGTGAAATCTTGTTTGTGGATGTCATAATTTTAAAAGTAGGAAAACCAGGGAAGTTTTAGGATCCAAAACCAACAGAGAAAAATTAAGGTTGGGTGGGCAAAATGGCTCCATGGGTGAAAGCGCTTACTGCCCAAGCCTGACTGCATTCAAGTTCTATCTCAGGAACCCATACAGTGGAAGAATCAAACCAATTCCAGTTGTTCTGTGACCCTCATATGCCCCCAGTGCCAGTGGACCATGCATCCTAACACACACAAATGTGAAAGGAAGGAAGGAAGGAAGGAAGGAAGGAAGGAAGGAAGGAAGGAAGGAAGGAAGGAAAGAAGGAAGGACAGTCCTGAGTCCTGTGGGTGGAGACAAGAATATTGCTATGAGTTCAAAGTCAGCCTAAGGTACATTGTGGATTCAGACCAGTTAGGACTACTGAAGTACATAGTAGGACTGATCTTGTCTCAGAAATAAATGGATAAATATTTTAAATCAATAGCTTTTTTATACCAAATAATGGACATGCTAAGAATGAAGTAAAGAAAGCAACCCCATTCACAATAGCACAAAACAAACACAACTCTGGTATCTTAGTTCCCTGCCTGTGTTGGCTAGTTTTATGTCAGTTTGACACAAGCTAGAGTTACCTGAAAGGAGGAAACCGAAACTGAGGAAATATCTCCATAAGATGCAGCTGTAGGGCATTTTCTTAATTAGTGATTGATGGGGGAGGGCCCAGCCTGCTTTGGGTGGTGCCATTGCTGGGCTGGTGGTTCTGGATTCTATAAGAAAGTAGGCTGAGCAAGCTTTGAGGGACAAGCCAATAAGAAAAATTCATCGGCTCCTGCCTCCAGGTTCCTGCCCTGGTTGAGTTCCTGTCCTGACTTCCTTCAATGATGAAGAGCAATACAGAAGTGTAAGCCAAATAGGCCCTTCCCTCCCCAATTGCTTTTGGTTGTGGTGTTTCATCACAGCAATACAAATCCAAACTAAGACAAGTTGATGCCAGAAATGGGGTATTGCTGTGACAGACCTGACCATGTTGTTTCAGGAAGGACTGTGGTAGGACTTTGGAACTTTGTGCAAGAAAGGCCATTGGGTGTTCAATGCTTGGTGAACTGTTCTGTAAAAGCTTATCGGAGTATTTTATCATAACAGTTGTGTTGGAGACCTCTTGCCAACTTGACACAAACACATTACTGTTGAGCTCCAACCTTTCCTTTCTTGCTCAGCCTCAATATCATATAATAATGTCACAGTATAAAGTATTTCAAAAACTTAAAATTTCCCCTAGTCTTTACAAATTCAAACATTTTAAAATTCCAGCCCTTAGGAGGCAGGGGCAGGCAAATCTCTGAGTATGAAGCCAGCTTAGTCTATAGAAATAGTTCCAGTCTCAAAAATCCAAGGGGGGGGGTGGGGCATTGTTAAGGTGAACTCTTTGGGGAAGTGGTTCTGGAAAGTTAACACACAGGAGCTGTGTTAGAGACTGAACAAGCCCTTTGGAGGAGCCGGAAGAGCTTCAGTGAATCTCAGACATTGGACCTTGAGTTATTTATACTGTTGCAATTTAGTTTTGGTTTCTTTGGATTCTGACTGTGCCCTGGTATTTCCATTTTGAAGTAAGCATCAATTTAATGTCCTTTTTTTTTTTTATCTTACTGGAGCCCACAGTTGAGAATCTAAATTGTTAAAAGAGATTCTAGATTTTAAAAGAGACTTTGTATTTTTAGAGAGATTGAATTTTAAAGTGTTTGAATTTGTAAAGACTAGGGGGCAAGTTTGTAAAATACTTTATACTGTGGTATTATTGTGTGAGCTTGAGGAAGAGCAAGAAGGGAAAGATTGGGGCTTACCAGTGATGTGCTTCTGTGTCAAGTTGACAAAGGGGTCACCAATACTAATGCTGTGATAAGACACTGACAAAAGAAACTTAACAGGAGTTAAGATGTAGGAAGATCTCTAAGCCTAAGACTAACCTGGTCAGAAGAGAGAGTACTAGGTCAGCCAGAACTACATAGTAAGACCCTGGTGCTTGTTTTTTGTTTGTTTGTATTTTGTTTGTTTGTTTTTAAAACGCAATTTAAGAGAGAGTTTATTTGGCTCATAATTACAGGCTGCAGTACATCAGTGTGGGGGCATCAAGGTGTCAGGAACATGGAACAGTTAATCACATTCCACTCACAGTCAAGAAACAGCAAAATCCCGTTTAGAGAATGGCACCGCCCACAGCATGAAGACTATGCCTACCTCAGTTAATGTAATCAAGTAGTCCCTCACAGACATGCTCATGGACATCAGACAGTACCTCACTGAGACTCTTCCTAGGTGAGTCTAGATTGCATCAAGTTGACAATTAAACTAACCATAACACCTGGGAATAAATTTAATGGTGGAAATTAATGTTCTCTGCCCTGTTACGGAGCACTAGTGAAAGAAATGGTAGAGAATGCAGACACAAATGTTCATAGGTTGGGAGAATTAATATTGTTAAGCTCTTGATATCACCCAAAGCAACTTACACATTTGATGCAATCCATAACGAAATACAATGAAGCTTTTTACAGGACAAAGAAAAAAAAATTCTAAAATTTCTGTGGAATAACAAGAGACCCAGAGTGACCGAAGGAATCTTGAACAAAAGGAACGATGCTGCAAGAGTCCTAACACCTGGAGCCCATGTATATGATGAAGCTCCAGCAGCTGAAACAGCATGATACCAGTTCATAGACTGAAGGCCATATACACATAGATCATATGCAAAAATAAGCCCCAAACAGATCAAAGACCTAAGTTTGGAAAGATATGCCAATTACCAAAAGAACACAGGAGAAACATTTAAGACATTTGTGCAGATGATGGTGTTTTTAATAATTTTACTTTACATAAATGGTTGTTTTGCCTGTAAGTGTGTCTGTGCGACACATTTGTGCCTTGTGCCCAAGGAGGCACCAGAAGAGAGGATCAGATCCCCTGGAAATGGAGTTACAGAGTGTTTTGAGGCACTATTTGGGTGCTGGGAATCAGGCCCAGGTTCTCTGGAAAAGCAGCCCCTATGATGATTTTTTAATTAGACTCAAGGAACAAAGACAATACAATAAAAACATTCAAATTATATCACACTAGGAAATTGGTAAGAAATAACTAAGGGCTGGAGAGATGGCTCAGTAGTTAAGAGCACTAGCTGATCTTCCAGAAGACCTCAGCTCAGTTCCCAGCAACTCCACGGCAACTCAGAACCATCTGTAACTCCTCCTATCTCAGCCACCGAAGTCTTTAGAATTCACAGATGTCTTAGTCAGGATTACTATTGCTGTGATGAAACACCATAAGCAAAAGCTTGAGGACGAAAGGGCTTATTTACTTTCACATCACAGTCCATTGCTGAAGGAAGTCAAGGCAGGAACTCAAGCAGGGCTGGAACTTGGAGGCAGGAGCTGATGTGGAGGCCATGCGGTAGTTTTGATTTACAAGCTTATTCCTCATAGGTTGCTCAATCTGCTTTGTTTGTTTGTTTGTTTGTCTAAATAGAATCCAAAACCACTAGCCCAGCCATGGCACCACGCACAATGAGCTGGGCCCTCTCTCTCCCATCACTAATTATGAAAATGTCTATAGGCCTGTCTATAGCCCAATCTAATGGAAGCATTTTCTCAATTGAGGTTTCCTCCTCTCAGCTTACTAGCTTATATTCCGTTTGACATAAAACTAACCAGGACAACAGGTTTATGGCATTTCACCCATCCCTGAAAACTTTTAATAGAATTTTAAGTTTAGTAGAAACTTTTTTTTTTTTTTTTTAGTGAAAGATTTGTGTATAAACTGTAAAAGTAGATTGAGGACCTTGCAGAGAGGCCCTATGATAAAACAAAAGAGGTTACTATAACAAAGGATACAGGAAACAAGAAAAACATGAAATAGGATAAAAAGTCAGCCAGGTAGTGCTGGCTTTAAGCCCGACACTCAGACTGCAGAGGCAGGCCGATCTGTGTGAGTTCCATGCCAGCCTGGTCTACATATCAATCCAGGATAGCCAAGTTTACACAGAGAAACCCTGAGAAAGAAAGAAAGAAAGAAAGAAAGAAAGAAAGAAAGAAAGAAAGAAAGAAAGAAGGAAGGAAGGAAGGAAGGAAGGAAGGAAGGAAGGAAGGAAGGAAGGAA